CTATTAAGCTATATTACACTATACTACATACTACACTAATATTATACTAAAGAAAAACCTGTGACCCTTACAGACAGTCACGACACAGCTTTGACCCAATAGGTCAATCAATCAAAACCACCATGACCAGTGTCCAATTAGGAAACTACCTTTTGGTAAACAATCTCCATAACACATTCCACAGGTGCAGAGATTAAGATAAGAATTGGTTTTTTTTCTTTCTCTGAGCTTTCTCACAGCCTTCCCCAGGAAAAATCCTGGGAAAGTTGTGCCTCCTTCTCTCTGTGGAGAGTGAGGTTTGTTTCACCAGGTTGTTCATGGACATGCCTGTGCCAGCAGGGAGGAAAGAGCCAGATCATTAAGCCCTTTCTTAGAGGAGGGAGATGTCTGGAGAAACATCCCTATTCAATACATGGTCTGATGAGACCACAGCTGCATAATGTGTATGACCCTCCTCCACCACTGTGTTACTGTAAAATTGTAAAAACCTCCTGATTTGTCAAAACTGTATCACTGCTCACTAAAACACAACTGATGTGTTCATTGATTATGTCCCAGACACTGGGTGGTGCAGGAGATTTATTGGGGTGGAGTGAAGGCAAGTTGCTTATTGTGTTATGCTTTATAAGATAAAATGGGAGGAGTATTGATGCCTTGAGAGGCTGAACCTGGAACAGAGACTAGACAGAGCTAAAGGAATAGAGTAGGTATTTATTGAAAGGCCTTAAAGAATACACCTTGGTCAGTACAAGAGCCTGGCAAGGGCTACATGCAAGATGGATCCAAAATGGTCACAAAATGGACAACCGGTCACAAGGTCTCACACTTTTATAAGTTTTGGTCCATTTGCATATTGGAGTTAATTGTCCAATTATAGCTTCAGGTTATGAAGTCCCATCCTTGTTTCCCTCTTCTTCAGTTCCCCATTGTTTGTACCTTTTGGCCTGAAGCTTGTAACAGTTGTCCTTGCTCTCAAGCTGGAAAAAAATTGTTTTGTCTAACTACCCTGTGAAGAGAACCTACTAACACTTAATATGATGCTCAGAGCTACACTCCTAGGCAGATCAGAATCTGAAAAATATGAAAGCTAAAATTTAAGACATCAGTATTAGACACCTGGAGCTGTGCTCTCTCTGCCCATGATGAGAGAAAATATGCATAGGAAGAAATGAAATGGTATTGTGGAGAAAGAGAAGACCCTGGGAACAAAGTATTGTTCCCAGGATATAAGGACATTGTTCCTATTTTTATTTATGATCTCCTACTCACATCCTGGTACACTGAAGGCCTTACTACTGTTATGTTGTTGCACAATATCAGACTAACCTGCAAGCGTGTTAACTATGTTAAGTAAGTTAGAAAATGCCTAGGCTAGCTGTCTAAATACAAAGCACTGACAATCTCAGGCAGTGCAACAAGCAAAGGACAGAGGACAGGGAGGAGGATGTGCTCATACAAAAGTACATGTAGCCAGTTTGGGTTTGGGAAGGTTTGCTGGCTGGATGCCAGGAGAATAAAGCACATATCTGCACAGTAAGACATCTGTGGGTGCTTCCCAGCTCTCAAAAACTTGTCCCTTTGTCAATTCTCTGTTATTATCCAGAAGAGCCATGAGGGTGCTCAAAATAGCAATAACCTAGCACAGAGAAGCAAAGCAGAGAAAGATGCAGGTGCCTAACAGACAAAACAACAGCATAGTGACTTGTTCTGGTTAGAGTCTTCCAGGCACAGGCAGCACTTATGAATGACATCATCAAGTTTTCACATCAACACATCTTTTTTAACAGGAAATTAGACTAATGTGATTTAAAAAATCACTTGTCTCTTCACCAATTAATTTGATTTTTTGAGGGGGCAAACTATATATCTGGGGGGTTTTTTATCTCATCACAGTTCAACACAGAGATGCTGATTCCAGTATCTTTGAACTTCCTTTTCTGAGGAGCCACAGCAGAAGATAAAATTACAGGCTTCTTTAAAATCTTCCAATCTTGTCTCTGGCCTTGTAAGTATATGGTATTTCTTAGCTATTCTTAAGGGTGTCACAAAATATTTCTTCTTGGGTTTATATCACACTTCCATTGTCACCCAGCCTACTTGTACATTTTAATATCCACAATGTCCTATTACCCAAGTCTCAAGTCCAAATTACACTTGGCAGATAACTTGTGCACAAATACCTTGATTACCCTGTGTGATGGCTGAGAAATGTGTGCAATATAAGCCAAAAGGTGGAGAAAAGCTTTTGCATTTCTCTTCCTCCTTATATTATGCAGCACTCTCTGTCTTTACCAGCACAAGCAAGGAGTAAAGGTCAGACCCTTCCTCATGGATGGGCTCCCTGTTATGTGAGGATGCATCCTTGAAGCCAGCAATGGGGGTTTCTTAATGCAACCTCATCACTGCTGCATTCTCTGTGCTCTCCCTTCAGGTGTGTTCTGGGCCCTTTACCAGCCCTTTACTAGGAGCCAGCCTCCATCACACAGCCCAGTCACTCCCAGAGGACACTGCCAAGTTTATCTGCAAAGTAACTGGTGGTCACAGTTCACCTACATCCACTGGTACCAAATGTCACCTGGGACCCCCTCTACATACACAGAGATTGGTCTGTATCACCTTTTCTGGGTCTGATATTAATTGGAATCATAGATTTCCTCCAAAAGAATTATCTACCCACACAGATGCCTACATGCTGCTGGTGCATGAGCTGGACAACCAACTCAGCAAGTGTTATCACTCACTGCATGGTGTGGTACTACACCTACAACCATTACCTTAACCTCTGTAATTTACTGCAGCTGTAATGTGTTCACAGAAGAATGATCAAAAAATTACATGAACTTTTTGCATAGAGACATGCCAGCTTCTTTGTCTAGACATGGGAAAACAGCAGCCAGAAATGTCAGGAAGTGCTTGATAGGGAACTGGGAACATCCAACATAGGGGAAAGGAGGAAGGAAGAAAAGCAATCCTAAATGACACAGGGGAAAGAGGGAATTTTGGAAGAAATTGCTGAGTTTACATGTCCCATGGCAGTTTCCAAGTTCTACCCCAGGATAAGCAACTTTACAGGTGCAAAAACCCAGAGAAATGGAAAAAAAAAAAAAAAATTATGTCCAGGTGTGAATTGGGAAGGGCAAAGTAAATGCTGGGAAATCCTTATGAGAGAAACCCATGCCTAACTGAGAGTCTTTCCCAAACTATATTCAGTTGAAGACCTGGACAGGAGACAGAAGGGACTGCACACACCTGTGATTTCCAGGGGGCCGTTCTAGGAGCCACATAACACTGTCTGCTGCAGCCCCCTCTTGCTATTCCACAGCAATTCAATACAAGTGCAGTCTTTCTGAGAGTTAATGAGAGGTATCTCATTAACCAGTATAGTACAAAGTATCCTACTTTGTACTATGCTGTCTGTCCCTCCCTAAGTTGTTGACTCCTCCCTCTAAAGCTGTTAAATGATGTAAGGTAAGCCACACAATTAATAAGCAGCTGGGAGAAGATGTTAAGCTGTGGTATATTTATCAAGTAAAAGTCAAGTACACACAACACCTATTTACAGAAACATGGGACTTAAATATACACTCTTAGCAGACACATAGGAAGACTCCTTGGACTTTGAACATGAAATGCAAATAAATTTGGGAGCTGAATTACAAAGTGTTGAAGTGTGGGAATTACTTCATTATTCTGGGAAAATTATATCTTGTGTAAGCTATTTGTTTCTACTTTAAAAACAAAGAACCCCAATAGTAACAGTATGAGTAAACTGTCATTATACATTTTTTCAGATTATCTGGATGAGGAAGCAGTGAAGATGGGAGATAGCCATGTAAGACAGCTGTTCAGTAGCAGGTTTTCAGATCTCAGTACAGACTTTTTTTCTGGTCTGTTTGATTAATGCCAGCTGATATAAAAATACTTAGACCCATGTTCTGCATTTGGCTTTGGAAGGACCAATCCCCTCTTGAATAGTTTGAATCACTGTTTTGATTAAAAAATCAGATAGTAAACTACACTAGATGCATAAAAAGCGTGTTCTAAAAGGGGTCTCTTGCTGATTCAAAACATAAGAACATGAAAGTGAGTACATTACTACTGATGACATGTCATATAAGTTTATATGACAAACCATCTCCATTTAAGCTAGAGAGCTAAACTTGCATTTCAGCCTGCTGAAATCTGTAAGGGTAACAAGACCATGGGAAAAGCCTGACTATGAAGACAGTGGCCTTGATAGGCAGAGAGAAATACCACTTATTGAGTAATGTGAAAACCAGCAGCTGTAGGGCCAGGTAATGGAAGATGTTTGCTGCTTGGGCATACTTTTGATGTATGTTCGTGATATTTTAATTATTGGAGTAATCAGTAAAAGTTTGAAAACACTGGGACTTTTTTTTGCCATACTGGATAACTCCAAACGATGACTGTAGGAAGAGGGATTTCTGGTTGAAGCTGTATTACAGGATCCTATTTGATGTTCAATGTTCAAAATAAATAGGACAAATTGTTAAAAGAAACATTTTGGAGGTATTTTCATGGGATGAAAAATCATCCTACATAACCTCAGTATATATGAGAAGTAAGCAATTAAACTGATCTCTGTCTGGTACCTTATCTGGCAAATACATCTTGGAGAGCAGGGCTCACAGTACAACAAGCAAAGGGAAAAAAAGTGATTCTACTCATCATTCAGGCAAATTCCCTGTGGAATAAAAAAGAAAGAAACAAAGAAGTCTTTCTCAGTAGTGAGCACTCTTTGTACAAGGGTGGGTTTTGGGATGAGTGTTTTTTGGGCTTGGGGAAAGGTTGCCTGTTTGTTTGGGTTTTTCTCTTCTGTTTGAGAGTTAACCAAAAGGAAATGGCTCATGCTTCATTATTTAACCTGTAGCTGGCGCAGCCTCATTGGATAGTTTTCAGCCACTCAGATCTGCTTCACCCCGTCTTGAGGCTGACTCTGACCCTGTGCCTCTAAGGAAACCCTAAGAAGAGCAGTGGTGATGTGGTTGTTGAGCACTTTCTTCCTGGCAACTCTTTTTACTTGTACTTGTATGTGCCCTGTTCATCCTCCTGCCTCCACAGTCACCAGTGGAAAAAGAGATGTTTAAAAAAAAAACCAAAAACCAACTTGTCTGTTTTTTCTCTTTTATTGCCACAGGTGGCTCTGCACAAGACTTACAGCAAGCCCCTATATCTATCACCAAGCCAGAAGGTAAAACAGTGCTAATCAATTGCCATGTCTCCAGTCGTGATTTTAGCAACGTTTTTATTCACTGGTACCAAAAGAGGGTCAGTGCAGCTCCCAGGCGTGTTGCCTACATATTCTCCAGGTTTTTCCTTGAAATCCAGTCTGATGAGGGGAAGTTTACTGTTGAGAAGGATCCCAGGAAATCTGTCCGCACCCTGACAGTGAGCAAAGTAATGCTGCAAGACTCTGCCACCTACTATTGTGCTACAAGGAACCTGCACAAAGACATGCTCTACTTTCCAGATAAGAACCTGAAGTGTTTGACAACACGCAGGAAGACTGCCACCCTACTTTCCCAAAAGCTTTGAATCAGACTGCACAAACAACCAGATACAAAAGATGCTGCTGAGCTTTGCAGATGCACACTACAGCCAGTACCAGCAAACCTGTTATTTCATTTTGCCAATAAAAAGGGCATTTTTTGGGCCAGGATGGATTGCCTCTGAGTGAGTTTACAAGATGACAGGTTTGTCTAAAAAGCGGGGTCCTGCTAAAGACAGGCAAAATCTTTCTATTCTCACTACCTTTCAAGATACATTTTTGGAATAAAACCCTTGTTCTGTCATTTGTGTGGCAGAAAAGGTTATAAGTGAAAATAAACTTGAAGCACCAATCAAGACTGCAGATGCAATATACCCATTTTGTACTTTGTCATTTGAGAATCTCGTATTATTTTCTCTTTGTTTTCTTCTTGGAGTTGATCAAATTTTCATTTAGGTTAAAACACAAGAGTCCTAATTTACTTCAGTGGGTCTTCTCAACCTACATAGCAAGACTACCTATAGAATTTTTATCTGCGTGCAAAATTTTTATTTTTGCACTCAGAAAGACATTCCTTTGAGTTATTTCAGGTCTTTCTGTTTATTCATAAACAAAAATAGATAAAGTGACAGGACTTTATCCTATTGTGTTCCTATCTCAAAGGACCCAGTATTGCCAATCACCAGTACGTCATCTTCAGAGCACACTGAGCACTGGGGCACCGGCTGCATTTCACAGGAGATTGAAAGATCAGATCCTGAGTACAACTGTAGGACAACAGTTACTGGATCTGTGTAAAAATGCTTGAAAAAAAAAAAAAAAGCTGGCTAACATAAGTAAAATGACATGACAAAAAGAGGAAAAGGGGAATTGGTTTAGTTTTCTTTCCAAGGGAACTAAAAGTGACCTTGTGCCTGAAAAAATACTTTTAATTGCACAAAATAATTTCTATATTTTGCTTGACCTAATTATCTTTATTTTAAACTAGGCCTATGGGGGTTGTAAAGCATTTGTGTTTGTTTGCATGATGATTCTTTCCGGCATTTGGAGAAGCCACTCTGAGGTGTATCATCTCACTTTGCCTGTGATAAGACACAGTCATTAACTCAACAATTCTGCTTTTGAGCTCCCAAATGTCTGCTGTGTATTTTCCTGATCTTCAATATTCGATCTGTGTCATGAGCAATAATTTCACCTCTCCAATTCATTTAGCTCCATGATTTGAGTTTTATTTTTTATGTTTTATTGGCAGCCAACCTGAGGCTTGTGCTCCTTGTATAAAGCTATAATCTGACTGTTCATTTAGTAGGGTTCAATCAGGCTGCTTTATCTCAGACAACACCTGCCAGGACAGCCTCTCCAAAGACCCAAGTGATAATTTCCTTTCCTCAGTTGCTGCCCTCTGCCCCTGCTGGGAGTGCTGTAGACTTCCTCCAGAGGGCAGACGCAAGCAAGAGCACTCAGGATGCTGCTGCTTCCTCTGCTGGCCCTGGCTGCAGCCTGGTCTCGTAGGTTCCCTTTGTCACCATGACAAAGGGCTGTGGCAGGAAGCATCCCATGTTTATGTGTGTGAATGAATAGCAAGCTAAGAGTATTTGTTCTGTTTTCTCTCTTTCTTTCTAGATGGACAAGCACAAGTGCTTCTGAAGCAGATAGAAGTATCCATTACCAGAGGGCACAAGACAACTACATCAATGGACTGTATAGCCAAGGGTATTCCTGGCTTCCAGTATACATTGGTACCGACACATACCCGCCAAAGCTCCAGAACGGATTCTGTACATTTGACCCAGTGCAGTTTCCTATGATGACAATTTCTATAGCAACAAGTATTCTTCTTCAAAGAAAGGTACAAACGTCTGCACTTTCACGATCAATGACATTAACTCCAATGACGTAGGTTCCTATTACTATGCCTACTGGCATTTCCACAGAACTAACAGGTGACAGGCAGCCAGTACAGAAAGCTGCCTGTGCCCTGAGGAGCAGGCTTTCTGTCAAACACAGAGAATCATAATTGTACTTTCCTAACTCTAAAACACCCCAACATGACACAAAGTCATGTATTTTTATCACAAGAACAATAGAAGACTATTAACTTTCTGTAGGAGTTGTAGCATGAGATATATTTGTGTACAGCGTTATTGACAAAGCACTAAAAAAGATCCAGAGGATTCTCTCTTTTGGGTCAGAAAATGTGATTTTTTTCTCAGGGAAGAGCATGATGTATTATGGCTGCTGCCCAGGGGACCATTTGCTATATAAAGTCTTTGTGGGGTACATTTTCAGCCTTTGAAATCAGGGAAAGTACAAGAAAAAGCAAGGGGCAGCAAATAACTGTCTGGTAGAAATGCATGCTTCACTCTGGATTTGCCACAACCATTGAAGCTGTCTTCTAATAGAGCCACCAGCTGTATTTTTCCTATATGGTGCTACAACCCCATTATTAAGGAAGGCAGGCACTTGCACAGAGGTCCAACCACCTCACTGCTGGCAAGACACTACTGCCAGAGGAGCTCCTTATTTCATGCAGCAGAAATGCAAAGACCTTCAAAAGAAATGTGTCATGACTAGTCAGTGCATTCAAATGTTTACACAGCATTTTCTGTATCTGTAATTCTTGATGCCCAGTGAAATTAAGAGCTGTCTGTTTTTTTCTGAGTTTCATAGCTAGATAAATATAATTAAATATTCCTAGGCCTATTCCTATGCAGTTGGAGGTGCAAAGCTAACCAAAATTCTTCCCCGCAGGAGAGGAGGAGAGACACAGTCCCTAGACCAATCTGAAGCAGGCAAAACTTCTTTCTGCCCCTCCACCTCTTTCTGCCTGTCTTGGTTTGAAAGACAGGTGTCTGCTAGGGAAGACAGGAGCCTCCCTTGGAATGGAGAATGGAAACCCCCTCTCTCCAAATTATTATAATTTTGAAATTAAGGGGCTCTGAGGCAAGGACATGGGAATAAATAACAGCTCTTTACTAATATGTATAACAAGGCAAACAAAACAACAACAACTACAGCATCAATAACAAAGAGAACCAGGAGCCCAGTAACAGCCTCCCAGGCCGCCGGCACGCTCCCCTTGGATGTAGTGATGGTCACAGCCGGCAGGGGGCGCTGTTGGCTCCCGGTGGGCAGGGCAGGCACGCTGCTTCTCCACACCCCTGGACTTGGGACGAGAGGCTTTGCCTCGCAAAACCGCCTGGGGCAGCCCATCCCGGTGCCCCAGCAGGACTCTTGGAAGCAGCAAACTGGGATGGCAGCAATGAGCAGAAATCCTGGGGTGGTGGACAAGAAGTACCAGGAGCTCTGCAGTGGAAACTGTGGGATGTCCCGGCAGGGCAGGGGGTGAAGGGCCCACCAGCAGAAGAAAGGAAGCTCCCAGCTAGGTTATGGCAGTGGCAGTGAATTCCTTCTCCAAGCTGCAGGTCTGACCATCCTCCTCCGAAACACAGAGCAAGAGAGAGTTCTCAGCTGCCCCAACCCACGTCCTTTTACCTGTCCTTTCATCTGCCTCGTTCTTGCGGTATCTCTGTCCCTCCGAGAGAAACTCCCAAAAAACCAGAGGAGTTCCCCCTCCCTGCCTCTCAAGCAACCCAGCCATCAGTGCTTCCACTTCACCCCAGGTATCCTTTGGTTGTGAGACTTTGCTCCAGCCAGATGTAAAGGCAGCACAGAGCCCAGCTCATGTTATCCTCAACCAGCCTCCTAAATTCCATGCCTACTTAAAGCAAAATTGTACAAATCTGACCATTTGCCACACTGTTGCAGGTAGATGGCCGTAGGTGGGAAGTAGCCCAACCATCTCTCCATCCTGTCAAGATCCCTCTGAAGGGCTGCACAACCCTCTGGGGTATCAGCCACTCCTCCCAGCTTCATGCTATCAGTGAACTGAGGAGGCATCTGTCCCTTCCCCCAAGTCATTGATGAACAAGTTAAACAATACTGGACCCAGTATTGAACCTTGCCAGACACTACTAGTGACAGGCCTAGTTAAGACTCAGTTGGGGCTGTTCAGCTTGGACACAAAAATGCTTAGGGGAGACCTTATTGAAGCCTTCCAGCATCTAAAGGGCACTTATGAAAAACAAATCTTTACATGGGTAGATGGTGATAGAAAAGGGGGAAGAGTTTTAAACTGAAAGAGCTTTTGAGTAGATGAGAGTTACTATGAGAGTTGTGAGGCACTAGAACAGACAACCCAGAGAAGATTTAGATGCTCCGTCCCTTGTGATGTGTTCAAGGCCAGGTTGGATGGGGACCTGAGCAACCTGACCTAGAGGGTGACATCCCTGCACATGAGGTAGAGGTGAGAGCTTGATGATCTTTAAGGTCCCTCCCAACTCAAAGCATTCTATTATTCTATGATTCTCCGAAGTTCTAAGGAAAGGTGGAACATTCTTCTGGGACAGCTTTGAGTCTCTGAGGAGAGGACAACGTTCTTGGGAATAGCCAGGCTGAACAACCTGAGTGTGCTCAGTAGGCAAGTCTGATATAAGTCTAGTAGTAGATAGATGAAGAAGATTTTTTTCAGATTGAGTATTTTTTGTCCTTTCTATGCTGCTCCTGCCATGGTTTATCTTTTCAGTAAATTTAACACCCCCTGTGGTAATGTGTTGAAGAACGACCATCGGATGTGGTGAATGAGTAATTTCCTCCTCCCAGTCATTTGATGCTTTGTCCACATGAAGGGCTTTATAAAATTTCTGTTTATTTCATTTTCAGGTCTAATTTTCACAGGCAATATGTTGCTGTTTCCAGTCCTTCTTGCAACTTCATTTTGGTCCTGTAAGACCTTTTTCCTTTTCTCTCTCCTTCCTGTCTATAGTGAACATAAGCCTTGTTCCAAACTCCAGGAGTTTCTCCCCTCATGCAATTTCTCTGCTTTCACTTCCAGGTGTAGACATGCAGTCAGTGCCAGTGCAAACCCCAGAGATGCAGAACCAGATGAAGGGCACGTCTGCCAGCATGTCATGTCAACTGGCAGACAAAGCCATTGTGCACTGGTACAAGCAGCTTCCCGGACAGCCGCCGAAGAGGATACTGTATGAGTCTGGAGGGACACCTGTTTTTGAGGACAACAATGATAGAAATAGATTTCAAGTTCAGAATCATCCTACTCAGCCCATATATGAGCTCGTGATAAATTCTTTAACCCCAAGGGATTCTGGCATTTATTACTGTGCATACTGGTATCAAGGCACCACAGTATTAGTTTGGCAAAGATAAGGCTTACAAAAAGACTGTTTGTGCTCTGAACCGCAAGCTGTG